ACAAGGAAAGGAAACAAGTATATGGTTGTGGCGACTGAGTATTTGACTAAGTGGCCAGAAGCTAGGGCAATTCCTGACGCCAAAGCTGCTTCGGTGGTGCAATTCTTTTATGAAGATATTATAAGTCGTCATGGTTGTCCTAAGATATTGTTAACACTAGTAAAAATTAAAATTCTAGGAAAAAAAATTGAAACTTTTTTTTAGACGCCTCGGAATAAAAAAAATCCGAACCATCTTTGAAAAAAATATAAAAGAAAATTCCAAAATTTTACTAGGACAACTAGGACAGGTAGTCAAAAATACTTTTATTTAGCCTGAAATTATCACCAAGCTATCTTTTTTCCATCCTAATAAAAAAAGTTAACTAGGGCAGATTTTTTTCTAGGACACCACCCAAAACCAAGTTTAATTTTTTTTAACCACCTCAGAATAGTTTTCTACCATATTAGCTAGCTTTTTCCAATGATAATATGCTTTAGAATGACATTTTTTCACATGTAAACTACATAATTTATAATCAGAAGCAGTCAGTTTATCACATTCTAAACTGGGGACACGTTGGCGTCTCTTATAATGAATGCCACAACCTTTTGGTCGATTGCAAGACCTATTACAAATTGTTTTATCGTTAGTGATATACTGACAAAGATAATCCCCAGTCATCTAAAATGCTTTATAAAAGTGAATCAAACTCAAAATACTAATTAGTATAGTATTATTAGGTAATAATGTTAAATGTTTAATTTTTATTTAAACATTTTTAATAGGTTAATATAATAAAATCGTAAAATACCCTTTCATAATATGGAAACCCAAAATAACAGCACAGAAAACACAGAAAACGAAACCAATGGCACCTTCTACCACCGTGGACACAATGCCGAAAGTGTATCCGAATATTCATATAAAATTCATGATGATACCGTAAATCCAAGGGAATTTCTAGGAACGGATAATGAGGATGGAATAGAATCTATACTCACAGATCGTAAAGGACACTCACTACACAAATTTATTGATGGAGATGATCCACTCTGTCCTTTTATTGATTTTGATTTACCTCAAGAGACATTTAATAAAATCGAACCCAAACTTGCATGTAAAGAGATACTAGATTTACTTTGTAATGCCTTTATAGAAGTTTGTCTAGAGATATATACAGATTGGGATAAAAACACTTTGGCTATTGCAAATAGTAGCGATTCCCAAAAAATGTCTTTCCACATATCAACTTTTGGAATGCGTCTTAAAAATATTTCCAAAGTAGCATTATTTACTGAACTCGTTCGAAAAAAGCTTCCAATAGGTTTACAAAGCAAAGATATTGTTGACAATATTGCGAAAAAAAGTATATTTTCATTGCAAATTCTTGGTACGCCAAAAATTGTTAAAGAAACTGGAAAACACGTATGTGTAAAAAAACCATCATATCCAAAGGATAGTTCTGTTTTTAATTTTATGCTTTGTCCACCACATGATGAATCACCAGTTGTAGATAGTCTTATCCTAGATGTTCAAGAAGCAAAGGCATCGAAAAATGGTAAAAGCGAGGCTAGAACTTTTGGATCAGAAGTAGAATTTATTGAGAGATTACTTGAAGAGTATAAAATTGAAGGTTTTGAAGTTTTATATCCTTCACTTGCACTCCCAAACATATTTCCTCTAAATCGTAGAACAGAATCCCAATGCCCACTCTGTAATCAGGTGCATAATAGTGATAATGCCTATGTGGTTCGAAATAAAAAAACTTATCGCTATTATTGCCACCGTGCAGATCTAGAAATGCCTTCAGGTATAAAAAAACCATCATTAAAACTTGTAATAAATGAAACAGTTAAAAATCAAGAAAAAACCCTTCCAATACTGGAAAAAATAGAGCAACCCAGAATCTCAGATCCAAATGACCACTTTGTATGGGGTGATTTAATTCGTATGTGTACTTCTAAGAAAAATTTTACTCGGAATGAAGTATATAATGCAATCCAGGCTACACTTGCTTGTGTGGTAAGAGATAAACGAACATGGATTCTTAAACACAGAAAACCAGATGGTAGATTATACTTTGGTATGGCACCTACTCTAGATTTTGGTAAAATAACTATTAATATAGTAGAACTTGGAGGAGAACCAATAAAATTAATCTCTTTGATAGATTGTATATATGACAGCAAGGTGATTATTTATGATGACATCAATTTCTTACCATATCCACCTAATATCGAACAACCAAAAAACGAATTCTTCAATCTTTTCTTAGGATTCAAGGCTAAACCGGCACCTCAAATTAATTACGATCTTGTAAACCCGATTATATGGCACATAGAAAATATCTGGTGTGATGGAAATAAAGTTCTTTCTTCATATGCTCTCAAATGGTTAGCATTTTTAGTTCAGTATCCAGCAATAATTCCAGGAACAATTCTTGTTTTGCGCTCACCGCCAAGATGTGGGAAAAATATTATTACTGATTTTATTCGAAAAAGTTTATTCGGTCCAGAGCTTGTATATTCAATGTCTGACTTAGGTAAAATTTTGGGAAAATTTAACAGTAGTATTCAAGGACGTAAACTTATAATTATGAATGAAGCGGGAATGTTAAGTGGAGAATGGCATAAGTCAAACGATCACTTAAAATCTCTAATTACAGAAGATTACGTCTCAATTGAGCGCAAAGGTCTCGAAAATCAAGAATGTGGCCATTTTCCTGGATTTATAGTATTAAGTAATCATGACGCCCCAATTCATGTTGAGCAAGGAGATGGTTGTATTGTATGTTTAGATGTTTCACCTCGATGTAAAGGTAATTTTAAATATTTTAGTCAGTTGGGAAAAATTCTCAACCATCCCGATACACCTGGATCTTTTATGAGCTATTTACTTGATCAAGACCTTTCGAATTGGAATCCACAAGAAAATATTCCTACCACTAAAATGAAAACAGAGACAATGCGTGAGCATCTCCCAAATCCCATCCGATTCATAATTGATCATATTTCGGTATGGTCGGAAGATCAAATTGAAAACCCAGGTTGTGCTATGTTATATCAGGAGTATCGTACATGGTGTGAAGCTAATGGTGAAAAACCATTCAGCAACAATAATTTTGGGAAAAAAATCCCACAAGTTAACATTGAACGAAAACGTGCTGGTGGTGGAAAGAGAGAATGGCAGTATATTCTTGATCGATCCAAAATCGTAGCTAAGCTACGTGAATCGGTAGGTGATATCGAGGAATTTTCAGACTCACCTCAAGCTGAGACATACACCAACGCGTCCACAGATATTCCTGTATTCGATGTCCCAGAAATCACAATTCCGAAATCAGAAAAAATAGAAGCCACCTCATCAAATACCGTTCGCTTCAAAAAAGGTAAGGAAATAGTATCCACCCCTCCTATTCCTGATATGACCCAGGATCTCTTCGATTCTATAACAAAGGAAAGTTCAGTTGCTTCGTCATCTAAGTCTGCTGATACATCCATGACTCCAGGGATTGAATGTGTAGAACCTGTAGACGATAAACCCGAACCTCCTGAAATTATCGAGGAATCGGAAATTCGGGGCTATACCTCATCTAGCAATGAAGAAGTTAAACCATCTCCCGACTTACCTATTAACAATGAGCCCGAGACCAATAACGAAGAAGCCGGTACCCAATCGAAAACATACCCCCCCCCCGGATATATTTCCCGAGAAGAACGCGAAAAACGTCTCAGACAGTGGGCAATCGATCATGGTGAAGATCCAGACAATCATGGTGAAGATCCAGACATGTTCATGACTATTACAGAGAAAGATGAAGATTTGTCACAT